GCACTTCCAATAATAATAGATCGCCATAATTGTTTTTCCCTCGATATTATTCCTAACCAACCCTCACTACCTTTCTTTTCTCTCCCTCTCTCATTCTCTCGTTCTACCTTTTTTCCAATAAATAATGATAGAAAATGCATAATAATGTTAATTCGTCTTTCCCTCGATATTATTCCTAACCAACCCTCACTACCTTCTCTCTCTCTCTCTCTCTCTCTCTCTCTCTCTCTCTCTCTCTCTCTCTCTCTCTCTCTCTCTCTCTCTCTCTCTCTCTCTCTCTCTCTCTCTCTCTCTCTCTATTTATTTATATACGTGTGTGTGTCCTCTGCTGATTCGTGGTCGGCTGTTGGGTTGCTGTGTACCATCGAATACAGGAAAATACACATGTCAAGGGTTCGTACAATCTATAATATACTGACAACTGAAATTGCATGTTTACTGTAGACTAGTCATTGCATAGTTAAGGTGATTGTACACTCGCAGGAAAAGGGAAAAGCCAGTTAAATTAGGAAAAAATCGTATTAGGAAGGTATGTTGAGTCATATATCTGAGTGGTGGTAGAATAATAATTGGGAAAATTACCTCTCACGCAAATGTATTGACTCACACAACTTAATGTGCGTGTGTAGCCTTCGTATTTTGTTATTTTGGAAATTATCGGGACGTAATATTAAGAAACAATTAATTCTGAATTGATGTTGTCAGCTTATTCTCCCAATATATTAGCATCACTTAAACTTCTTTCAAGAGCAGCTGGAGCTTGTGCCCATCTACCAGTCTCAGTGTCCTAGAACTTTAAGAAGCAGCGTCGAAATCATGGTCACAGGTAGAATAAACTGACAGCACATTAATTCTAGGTCCTCCATCTCTAGATATTACCTTCTGTGTATATTGAGAATAGAAATACTAGGCTTCTGAGAGGTCTAAGCTTTGTGAGTCGATAGACCTACGTGAAATTGTTCTTTTCTCTGACAGCACTAAACTATTTGTGTCATTGTAGCTTCAAGATTTTATTTTCTACCAAGATTGTTGTTTATTTTGTTGATTTAAGCAGGTAGTGACTACAGTTCACCCAGTGTACGGACGGATCATGTCTGATCATGGGGTTCGTGAAGGTCGGGCTGACTATTTTGAGCAGCTGCATCAGGTAGCTGCTCCAGCAGTTAGTCTGTACGCAAATGGTGTTACAGTCCCTGTGTCGGACTCAGCGAGGATCCTCCTATCCTGACTGAGGTTAGGGAGGCGATCTCTAAGCTGAAGGGTGGGGCGGCTGCAGGCCTATGCGCTATCGAACTTCTTCCCAGTTAACTGTGGGGTGAGGCAAGGCTGTGTCAACACTTGCATCAGTACTTTTCAAAGCTTGTATGGAATGGAAAATATGCAGAGCTACTATCTAAAGTCATTGTGGAGCAACACTGGCAATATCAAGGTCACGAACTTCGATTTTAATGATGATGTCACTATCATATCTGAGTCTCTGGAATCTATTGGTGGCTGTTCTTGATGCATTCAGCAATGAGGCGAAGCCCCTGGGCCGAGAGGTATCCTGAACCAGTACCAAGATCCAGGATTTGGGGGAACTGTTAGGGGAGCCTACTCAGTTGACACATGCTTGCGGTGAGAACGTTTTAGAGAGTTTTATATACCTTGGTAGTGCAGTCCATGCCTCTGGGCTGTCAGACCAGGAAGTCGGTAGACAGATTGGTCTGGCTGCAGGAGCTATGGACTCAGTCAACAAGAGTATTTGGTAGTACAAGTACCTATGCAAAAGGACTCAAGTTACGTGTAATCAAGGCCTTAATACTGTCAGTGAAACCTGAACGCTATCCAGTGCCTTGGAGTCACGTCTCAACCCCGAATCGTGGGGTACAGTTGGCAGGACCATGTGTCCAACTGAAGGCTATACCGTGAGGCTCATATAGGATCTGCTACTTGCACAATATGGGACCACTATCTCAGGCTATACGGGCACCTTGCTTGTTTCTCTGTGGATTACCATGCCCATCAGGTTGTTATATTATATATATATATATATATATATATATAATATATATATATATATATATATATATATATATATATATATAAACACACACTTTTGATCTTTCGTTTTCTTCAAATAAGTTATAACTAAAGATGTGGTATCAGTTATCGTTGACTTTGTAGTGGATATTCTACAAATGCTTTATCCTGGAATTGTTTGTTTAACGAATTGGCAACACTTATGGAATTGAAGCGGTATTCTCCCTCTTTCAACACAACAAAAAAATTATAGCTGCATATTTTTTTGAAACAAGAAAACGCTTCATGCTTTAAATATATATGTATGTTTTACTTAGAGAGAGAGAGAGAGAGAGAGAAAGAGAGAGAGAGAGAGAGAGAGAGAGAGAGAGGGGGGGAGGGGGCAATGGGCCTCTAAATTAAAGAATTTTATATTTTTCATTTTTTTTCTTTTTTAAATATTTTTTTTTATTATATTGCCTCATTCTTATTATTTTACTTATTCTTAGTTCTATTCTTATCCTTATTCTAGTAAATTTTCTTATTTTTAATTTCCCTCTTACCTTTATTTTCATTATTATTATTCATTTTTTTTCTTAGTAATTTTTTATTCACATTCTTTTCTTAATTCTCATTTTTTTTTTTTAAAACTTACTCGTATCTCCTACTTATATATTTTTTCTAATTCACATTCTCATTTACATTCCTTTTTCCTCTTTGTTTTCATTCTTTTTTATTCTTATCTTTCTTCCAATTCTTATTCTTATTCTTATTCTTTTTTCTTCAGATTCTTAAAACTATTCTTCTCTTAATTACTGATTTTCATTTTCATTCTCCTTCTTATTCTTGTTTCTATATTTCTTCTTATTTTCATTACAAATATTATTTCTATTTTCATTCCTATTCTTTTCTTATACTTAGATTTATTTTCAGTCTCATTCCCATCTTTATTCTTTTTGATACGTGTTCTCATTATCTTATTTTTATTCTTTACTCTTATTCCTATTCTTATCTTGTTATTATTATCTATATTGCTGTTCTTGGTCTTCTTGTTCTCAGTCTGATGGAGTTGCTATTTGTGCAAAAAATATAGATGCTAAAAAATAAAGAAAAAAATTCCAGTAGAAAGTTATCATTTATCTCTCTCTCTCTCTCTCTCTCTCTCTCTCTCTCTCTCTCTCTCTCTCTCTCTCTCTCTCTCTATATATATTATATATATATATATATATAATATATATTTTTTTTTTTTTTTTTTTTTTTTTTTTTTTTATCGATGGCTATCGTTAACCTTCTAGCGAAACGAATGTAGAAATAAGAAATGAAGAAAGTAAAAGAAAATCGGCAGTGATAATATAACTGGCCTCCGTTACATCGTAAATTAATATAGGTTTTCCGTTCATAATGTCAGTGATTACCAGGCAGACATAAACAGCTGATGGCCATGAATATATTATGTTTCGAGTTTCGTCTTTATGAGTCTTTAGTCCTTTATTACATTTCCTGTTATTTGAAGTAGGATTTTTTTTCGTTTTTTTTTTTTTCTTTTTATATTGTTTTCTTTCGGGCTGTAAA